AGAGAGAGAGACAGAGAGAGAGAGATGGGGTAGGGGGAGATAGAGAAGAGAAAGATAGAGAAAGAGCGAGAGATGAGAGATGGGGTGGGGGGAGACAGAGAGAGAGAGAGAGAGAGAGAGAGAGAGAGAGAGAGAGAGAGAGAGAGAGAGAGAGAGAGAGAGAGAGAGAACCCTACAGAATCCAGTTTAAGAAAGTTACTTAAAGGGGCAGCTAGGTGGCACAGTGGATAGAGCACCAGCCCTGGATTCAGGAGGACCTGAGTTCAAATCTGACCTCAGACCCATAACACCCTGGCCTTTTCCTCTTCTTCCTTCACATCTCCCTTGCACGGCATCTAGGAGACCACGGAGCCTTGGAAAAGGGGCTGCTCCTTCAGCAGGGGAGAGAAGACCCATCACTCATGTTCCACTTGGCAGGCATCTCACATGCTTTTAAAAAATTATTAATACTTGGCTCATTCGCGTCTCCCTGCATTAATTAACCTTTTCGGCCTCAGACAAGATGGGCTTTTTAATCCTGCAGCCTCAAAAAGTTGGCTTCTAAAGACCGCCTTGCTTTTGTCAGAGGGAGAGAGAAGGAGAGGGAGAGGGAGAGGATGAAAGAGAGCAGGGGCCCTGAGAAGGCAGGGGGCCAGGTGCAAGATGGAACTGTCAAGATAGGGAGGCCCAGAAAATTCAATTAGAGCCTATGAAAAGAACGCTTGCTCAGAATACATGTGACTTTTCCTTTCTTCTTTTTCTTTTTTTCTCCTTCCTTTATTCCTTTTTCCCTTCTTCCCTCTCTCCCTCCCTTCCTTCCTTCCTCCCTCCCTCCCTCCCTCCCTTCCTCATCCTCCCTTAAACAGCCCAAGGCTGACTGCATACTAAAAAAGATTGGCAGTCGTGTGGTAAGTAAACATGACAAAGGACCCAGTATGTACACTCTGGCTCTCAATGTATGTGTTCACACTGAGGCCTTGAGGCTTATCAGGCTTTCTCCACATCCAAAGGAAAAGCCAATACTCAAAGAGGAAATAGCCCACGTATTAAATCTGTGGCCTGATCCAAGAGAGGAAATCCACGTTTGGAGAAGGGGCCCCATTCAGGCACGCGCCTACCAAAGGTTTTTGTTGGGTTAGAACTCCCCTTTATGAAATTCCCTAGGTTCATAGTAACTTTGTTGGAGGTGAGACCACTGGATCAAAGCCATCCCTGACAGGCCTTTGTGATGGAGAGTCCTATGGGGCACCATTTCCCTATCTCCCTAGAGTGGGCAGAGGGAAGTGGGGAAGAACAAGGCCTTCAGACCATGAGGGGATCATCTCCTGGGACCATTGCTGCAACAGCTTGAGAAATGGGACCCCAGGGGCCTCTCTGGCTTTCAACAGCAGACAAGGGATTGAGGCAGGCTGGAGAATGGGCAGAGGTCAGTAGTGCACAGCCTTCTGCGATGCAGGTGAAAATGAAAGGGTGGGTGTGGAGAGACAGGCAGTGACCGGTGCTGCTCCTGGGATCAATGCAGCCTTGACCCTGCAGACCCACACGCATCGTGGCGGGCCCCCCAGAACACAGTCTGGGCACAACGGCAGAAACAGGAAAATGCCGTTATATGGAGCTGTATGGAACACAAAGAAAGGTCCAAAAGCCAAATTCTGTTGGAAATCCTAACATTCTTATCTGTGCCAGCATCTCTATGAAAAGCTATTGCCTTTACAAATTGGTTTCCTACAAGTTTTCATCCAGTTGCTTTTAGCATCATGTTTGCATTTCTCAGGAAATGTGCCAAATTAGTATTGCTATTATTAATCATAGCAGGGCAGTATGCTGGAGTGTAGTGAAGAGAGACTGAATCTTGGATTCAGGAGGGCAACTAGGTGGCACTGTGGATGTAGCGCTGGGCCTGGAGTCAGAAAGACCCAAGTTCAAATCCAGCCTCAGGTACTTACTTGTTGTGTGACCCTGAGCAAGTCACCTAACCCTGTTTGCCTCAGTTTTCCTCATCTGTACAATGAGCTGGAGAAGGAAATGGCAAACCCCTCCAGTATCTCTGCCAATAAAACCTAAATGGGGTCATGAAGAGTTGGATACAACAACTTGGATTCAGGATGACTTTAGTTTGAGCCCCATCTCTGACCCAACCTGACTGTGTGACCTTGGGCAAATCCCTTGATCTCCCAGGGCTTTGGGCAACCCTCAAAGGCTTGACATCCTCAAAGGGCTGGTGGTGTGTCTTAGTGCTGAGAACTGTAGTTAATGAGAGATCAGGCCTAGTTATGTTAACTTGAGATTAGTTCAACAACAATAAACGTTTTCTTCTGAACTATGGTAGGAGTCACCTGAGTGGAGATGATACCAGAATATATGGCAGCTGATGAGATTACCCTTGAAGAAAATGTAGAGAGAAAGGACAAGGGCCCAGGGCAGACACCCAAGGGCAGGAGATCAAACACGGATGCTGATCCAGCAAAGGAGACCAAGAGCAGGATCATGGGATTTAGAGTTGGAAAGGGACCTAAGAAACAGTGTAGCCCAACTCCCTCTTTTAGTGGTCTTGTTCAAGGGTTGCCTTGCCCAGGCGGTGGACAGACATTTTGGGAAATGATGCAGATGTAAAAGCACACTCAATGAGGTTGCTTTGCTGGATAATTCCAAGGCCCCTTTCAGGTCTAAAACATTTATCACATGTGACACTCCACCTGCCATCTTGTATGCCTTTGCTCTGGATGCCTCCATGCCTGGAACGTTCTCTCCCTCCTTACCTTAGAATCCCCATTTCCTCCAAGATTCAGCTCCAGTGTCCCTTTCTGTGGGGAGGCCTTTCACAGTCCCCTAGACTGCAAATGTCCTTTCCATCCCAAGGGGGGATTACCTCTTACATGCTTTGGATGTATTTTAGTATATGAGAATATATGTGCATACTATCTTCCCCCATTAGAATGAAGCTTTGTGAGGGTAGAGACTTTCACTTTTGTCTTTGGGTCCCCACCTCTTAGAACGGTGCCTGGCCTACAGTTGGTGCTTAATAAATGTTTGTCAATTAACTAATTGATCCTCTGACCTCACTAGCCGTCTAGGCCAGCCTACACATGGCAGAATCCTACTATACTGTACCTGATACATACTCCTCCAGCCTCTACTTGAAAATTTCTAAGCAGGGAGAGCTCACTGCCTCTCAAAGCAGCCTGTTCCTCTTTTGAATATTTTTTAGGAAGGGTTTTAAAATTTTTTATTCCATTAAGCCTAAATTTGCCTTCCACTCCCAGCACCTAGCTCCTCCCTCTGGGGCCAAGCTGAAGTAGACTAGTCCCTTTTCTGCACACTCGGACCCACCTATCACTGCCCTCATGGTCCGTCCCTTTAACTTCACTCTTCCAGGCTAAACATCTTGGTTCCTTCTACTGAGGCTTATACGACACAGACATCCTTTGGACACTCTCCAGCCGATCAATATGCCTTCCAAACTTTGGTGCCCACTCTGAACACAATACTCTGGGACACAGGGCATTTCCTGGAAGCTTTTCCCAAGGTGGAGGATTCATTTTCATATTGAGCATGGAACCTACCTGAACCATCTGATCTTTTTCAGACAAATGGTTGTCTAGTCATTCTTCCTTCATCAAATAAGAAAATATTTGTAAAGCACTTAGCACAGTGCCTGGCACACAGTAGGCTATATAAATGCTCATTCCCTTTCCTCTCTCCATCCTCCTTCCCATCTGGTATCTGACCAGTTGATTCCCTCAATCAGAGCATAGGACTAGGCATTTAGTCATGCTGGATTTCATCTCACTAGATGTCAGCTCTTTGAGGGCAGAGCCTGTTTTACTTTGTCGTATCCTCAGCATGGTGCCTGGCACATTGTTGGTGCATAATAATTGCTTGTTGGTTGATTCACACCAGTTCTCTCTCCTGTCAAGCCCGTCTAGATCCACACTGTTGCCAAGTGAGTTAGCTACCCCTCTCAGTTTTATATTATCTGCAAACTTGAGACGCCTGTGTCTGGGTCCTTTCTAAGTCATTGATAAAAGTGACCAGGCTGAGTCCAGAACCTCTGGGGACCTCTTGTCCCACTGACTTTGAACTCTGGATGACTACTCTCTGAATACAGTCAATGAACCAGTTCTGAACTCATCTAACTGGATCAACATTAGTCTACAGCTCTATCTTTGCCCAAAGCATAGTATATTTTATTAAATGATTTTCTAAAATCTAGAAAACCACATCTATAGCATTTCCTTGATCTGCTTATTTGGTAACTCCCTCTGCCCTCAAGGAGCTTACATTGAACTAGGGGAGATAATGCACATGGTTGGAGGGGCCAATGATCCATTTTCTCAGGACGCCCTCTCCTGGTGAAAGATGGACCATCAACTTTCCAGCCCTCCCATCTCCACCCGCAGGCCAATGGAACAAGTAAGTTCATCAGGGGATAGAAATGTTATTGCCTGAAAATGGTTCCTTTTATTTTATGGCTGTCCTTTTTCTAATTTATGAAAATCCATTCTGTGCTGGTTTTAGAGGATACGGGGTTAGCAAGTCATTTCTGACTGTCCTCAGAACCGATTCAACACCAATCCCCCGGCCCCCACCCCCAACACATCTGTCGGCCTCATTGTAGAGGGCCACAGGAGGAAATAGAAGAAGCCCTTCTGCGCCTTCTGCATCCAGAAAGCCAGCTGTTTATAGCCGGCGGTTTTTATTTACTGAGCCTGATCTTTTGTTTCTTATCTTTACAGAAATGCGGCTGCCAGCTCCCAATGACACTCCAAGGAGTGGGGACATCTGGGGAGAGCGGCAAGGACTTTGAGCTGACAGCTTTTCCAACCTTTGGCCAAAACATTCTTGGCAGGGCTGGGGGTCTTATTTATCCTGTCCCTTGCCTTTTCATTTTAAATGATGTTTCTTTGACCCATCTTCCCTTTAAATTAAGACAAAAAGAGAAGAGAAAATTGGCCAAGGGAATGAAACCAGGAAGCAAAGACCAGAGGAGCAAGCAGACAAATGAGAGAAGGAAAGGAGAGTTGAAAACGATCCAGATGGAAGATGAGACGTCTGCTCCAGATGCAGGTTGCCTCGTCCCTAGAGGCTCCTGGGGCTGATGGGTGGCAGCAGGGGCCTTTCCAAAAGTCTCTTACTGAGAGTGTGATGGTGGGGATTCCTTTTGGGGTATGGGATGGATAAGGTGGCCACGGAGGGCCTAAAATGAAATGATTCTGAGAAGCATTCTATTGCACCATGGTCTTATTTGGGGATACTTCTCCCTCATACCCATACCATCTCTCCCTCTCCCCAAAAATGATTGAAAAAGAGACTAAATTGTGCTCATCTGGCTTGGTTGGTACGGTGGCCACTCTCTTTGGTTCCCTCCATTCCCTTACAGCCTCCACCCTGCCCACCCTCATGCATCTTCTGCCTCCCTCTTCACGGTCTTCATTCCCACACATTGAAATGTGTACAGCTCTTCCCTGGGCTAGAAAACCAACCTTCCCTTTGCTCTGCTCCCCTGCCAGTGATCATCCAAGCTCTGTCCTTTCTCTCACTGCTCACTACTCACTGAGGTCTCAATCTCCTGCAATCTAGGGGCAGAAATGAGAAAGACCGAGGAAGGGGATGCTCGGCACCCTGTTGGCATCAACATGGCATTTCAGGGGGAGACCAAGTGCCATCTCAGGAGCACTCCATTCTCCCTTTCATAGACTGCTGTCCTAGTCCCTGGATTAGTTTCTCCTCTTTAAACTGATGCTACTTCCTACCCACCCCTTTCACTTGGGAACCTTGTGAACACACCTGGATTTACTCTCCATCCTGTTCATCCTCTCCAGGTCAGACCACAGGCCCTTTCTGGAGGAAGGTTCTCTTCCGGGCACCTCTCCCTTGCCCCAGATATTAGAATGGGCTGGTCCTGTCCTCTGTGCTATTGAGTTTACTCCCTTGAAGGTCCCAAAGAGCCATCTATTTATCAAACTCAGCATCCCTCTCTGAGTCTCTCGTTCTCCTCTGCTTTCAATAGCTTTTGGCACTGTTTGACCACGCCCTCCTTCTAGAACCCTGTCTTGTCTAAGTTTTTGTCCAACCTTTCTGCCTCATTGCTCAAAGTCTCCTTTGCGGGGTCTTTGTGGCCTTTGAGTGGGGGTTTCCCAAGGCGTGCTCTTCAGCCCTCTTCTCCCCTCCTTGTCTGTCCTGCTCTTCTCTCATAAGGTTCCATTCTTGGCTCCATTCTTTCAGCCGCTTCCATAGCTTCAAGCCTTGTCTCTCAGTGGGTGATTCTTGCATCTAGAGTTCTCCTTTGGCTTTCAGATACAAAATCCCAACTCCCTGTTAGGTTTCTCTACCACTATTTCTCAGCAGTTTTTATCATCTACCAAAATGATCAGATAATCTCAAAATGAGATAACATGTGAAGCACTTTGCAAAACATCAAGGGCCATAAGAATGCACTTCGCATAACACTATTATTGTCGCCTCTCCCCTGGACTACTACTGTACCTCCTAGCGGGTCTCCTTGTGTCTGGTCTCATCCCTTTTCAAGTCATCCTTTAGGTAGGCGCCAGAATCATTTTCCTAAGACGTAAGCCTAATGACATCACAGCCATGCCCAGATCCACTCAGCGGCTCCCCATGGCCAAGAGCACTAAGCCTGGCATTTAAGGCCCTCCCAGGGTACCTTTCTAACCCTTTCACATCACTCCTCATACGTGGTTTTCCTCCAGGCCATTCCCAGATCTTTTTGCCTTTCTGCCCTTTTCTGTTTCAATGGACTTTGCATATACCATCTATCAAGCCTGCACAATCCCCCATATTTCTTCCTCAAGGGCACCAGCTCCTCTACTCCCTAATCTCCCACTGGGTACAAGTTCATCCTCTTTCCCTGAATCTCTCAAAATCACAGGTTTCAGTTTGAAGGGGCCTTGGAGACATTTCACTTCATCCTGCTCCTGAACAAGAATCCTCCACACACACGGAACATGCCTAAGGAGTGGCTGGCTAGCCCTTGCTTGAAGACATCTGGCAAGGAAACCTTACTATTTCTCAAGGCAGTCCATTCCACTGGGCAGTTTGGTCTTCATTGACCCGAACCTTGACTCTTTGAAATTTATTCCTGCTGGATTATACAGATTTAAAGCTAGAAGGGAGCTCAGGGCTCACCTAGTTTACCTCCTTCATTTTACAGAAGAAGAAACTGCAAGCCAGAGATGGCCAGTGACTTAGCCACAAAGCCGAGAGTTTCCACTTGTGCCCTGTGGACCAGGCAGAACAAAAGTATCCACCTTTCATGAGGCGGTCCTTAAATACTCAAAGACAAGGATTGTGTCCCCTCCCCAGTCTTCTCTGCTCCAGTTCCCAACGTTCCCCAATCATACCACATGATCCTGAGGCCTGTCCCTCAGCACCGTTATCACCTCTGGACACTCCTGAGCCCATCAATGGCCCCCTTAAAGATGGCTCCCAGAACTAAGCATGATGCTTTGGCTGCGGTTCTGCCAGGGCATGGTTCAATGATACCATCACCTCCCCAGTCCTGGGCTCTCTGCCTTTCCCTTCATGCGGCCTTAAAGGCCACATTGACTTTTTTGGCTGCTTATCACACCACTGACTTAGATTGGGCTTTCACTCTCCAATTCTTCTTCAGATAGCCTGCTATTCAGCAATGCCTCCCCATCTTGGACTTGTGAAATTGAACTTATTCCCATTAAATTTCATCTTATTATATTCAGTTCAATGCTTTGGCCCCTTTCGAGATCTTTTTGGCTCCTGACCATGTCACCCAGTAGGTTAGCCATATGTCATCTGCAAATTTGATGAACGTGCCATAACTACCTTTATCTAAAGCAGGGATTAAAATGTGAAATAGCCCAAAGCCAAGCACAGATCCTTGGGGAACTCAACTGGAATCCCCCTTCCAAGTCAGCATTGAGCCATTTCCTGTTGGCAACTGTCCAGTCTTAGTGTGCAGCCATTCAAATGGTTCCAAGGGAACCCGACTGTGGCCACATTTCTCCATCTTGTCTCATCCTTCTCCTGGGTTTTGAGCTGGGCTTGGAAAGAGAGGCTGGATGCAGAGAGATAGCACAGAAGTGGGGGAATTCTCAGGAGGTGGAATGGAGCTGTGACAAAGGACAGGGAGGGTAACGAGTGACTCGAGTTCAACAGACGCTGAGCAGATGAGCTTAGCCGGAGTGAAGCGGCTGCCTATGAGAATACCTTGTTAACGGCCTATGCACTCCAATTCCCAAACCAAGGATCCTGGGACAATGTCCAGCACAGCGGGTACATTTCTCATTTATTTTGGCAAATAAGGAAAAAGAATCTCTCCTATGAGAGGAAATACACAATTGCTGATCTAATCATACCTTGGATGTACATCGCCTCTTTCTGATAAGAGCTCACAGTGGTTTCTCAACTCTTCTCTTCTTTGCTCAATTTTATAGATGAAACTTCAGAGGAGTAAGTGACAAATATGGTGACATTGGTAGCTACTTCTCTGGGAATAAAGCCCTTTTTTAATGAAAAAAAAACCAAACACAACGAAACTTTACAAGGAAAGGTCTGAGGCTGGGCCGTGGCTCAGAGCATGGAGGGACTAAGGAGCTGAGTTTGCTGTGATGAGAATGTGAGAGGCTTGTTCCTCTTGGGATAGAATGCGTAGACATGCTGGGCAACTGGGAAAACTCAAGCTGTCAATGAAGCCTTCAGGTATGTTAGACAGCCAAGAGAAGGTCACCAGACCCAAAGGAGACCTTCCCTCGGCATCCGGTCTTCGTCCTGTTGTGCCATCAAGGAGACCTGGGGTCTACATAGTTTTGCTTTTGCTAAAGACATTTTTTTTTCGAATGTCTAGATTAGGGATTCTTAATGTAGGGTCTGTGAACATGATTTTTTTCCTTTAATATTTTGATAACTATATTTCAATATAATTGGTTTTTCTTTGTAATACTTTTAGCGTATGCATTTAAAAGTATTTTTCCTAGAAGGGGTCCATGAGCTTTGCCAAGTTGCCAAAAGGGTCCAGGACACAAAAAAGGCAAAGGATCTGGAATGTATTTCCAATAACATTTAGCGGCTATATAGAGCTTTAAGGTTTGCAAAGTACTTAATATATCTTATCAAATCTGATCCTCATAAAATGCTTATGAGGCATTATCATCCCCATTCTATACATAAGGAAACTGAGGCAGACAGAGGTGAAGTGCCTTGGCCAGGGTCAAATAATGAATAAATATCTGAGGCAGGATTCAAACTCAGAGCTTCTGGTACCAAGTCCAATCTTCCTTACTAGGCCTCCTAGAGGCTTCAACTATAACTTAGCCAAAAGTGAAGGTCTTGAAAAGGTTGCTGGGGTGGCCCTAGCATGCCTAGGTGGGGTTTTATAACTAGTCTGCCCAAGAAGGCAGCCTCCAAACCTTTGAATCTGGCTCCATGACTGGTCAACATCTCCCAGCACAGCTTGGAAATGTAGTCACCTAAGCCTTTCCTGGCCTTTCCTAGCACGCACTTTTATTAGGTCATCTTTCTGCTGTGCCAGCCTCCCATCCTTGTCTGAGCCCAGCAAAAAGCATGTCAGTGTGCTTAGTTTGAGATGAGGGCAAATGTCAAACATGCTGCCCCCCTCTAAAAAACCATTCGATTCAGACATAGGCCACTCACCGGGTAATTTTGTGCCGAGGAGACATCGGTGCTGTCTTCCCGGTAATGGGTTGTTGTGAAGTTGTCCGCCAACAGGCCTCTGTTGGAAAACAAAAAGGAAAGGTCGATTAGATCATTACCTGTTGATGAGCAAGAGATCCAGGATTAAGAGCCAGAAAGGACAGAGGAGACCATCTGGTCCAAACACCTCATTTTACAGCCAAGAAATGGACACGCCACGAGATGAAGTGACGTGTCCAAGATCACCCAGCCGGTAGGTGGAAGGGTTGGGAAGTGCACCCCTGTTCTCTAACCCCCAATCCAGTGTTTTTCCCACTGAACCATCCTGCCTCCTTTTCATTTCTCCAGTAGAGAATTTTAAAGCTGAACAGATCTCATCAAGTTCTAGCTCCTTATTTGCCAGAAGAGGACCCTGAGGAGCAGAAAAGGGAAGTGATGTGTTCAGGTTTACATCCAAATCCAGACTGGAGCCCAGATGCCTGAGCTTTCAGTCCCAACCTCTCACACACCATGACATCAAAGCACGATGCAATAAACACTAACAGCAACAAAGATGGCGACAATAATAATAGCTAGCATTTTACGGTTTGGAAAAAAAAAAAAACCTGTACAAATATCATCTCATTTTGTCTTCACAACAATCCTGGAAAGTAGATGCTGTTGTTATCTCCATCTGCGAAACAGGGAAACGTAGTGCTCTGTGTTGGCTCCCAGAGGATGAGCCTTGCCCTGAAAAGTCATGGTCCTGAGCGTGGGACCTCCCCATGTTGACCCACTGCCGATAAAAAAGAAGAAACAAAACACTCCAAACATGTTTGTAAAAGGAAAAGGTCAAGATGGGTGATGAAACATGCAGGATGGACTGATGCAAGGTGAGAAAAACCAAACTTGGTTCATCTCTTCAAATCCCAAAGAAAAGGGTTTATTCAGCAATGAATGGGCCTAATCATCGAATGCTCTCATTAGAGTCAAAAGGAACCATCCAGGTCTTCTGATTCATTTGATGCTCTCATTTGACAGATGAGGAAACTGAGGCCCAAGGAAGTTAAATGACTTTTCCAAGGTCACTTTGGTAGTAACCAAAACAAATCAGCAGATGGTCAGAAATAAACATAGCTTTGACATTCAGCCACAGTTCTTACCAGACAGGATACAGAGCTGGAAGGGACCTTGGAGGTCATCTGATCCAATCTCTTCCTTGTAAGGAGGAACTAGCCTAAGGTTGCATGAGGAGGAAGGAGCAGAGACCCAGATTCAGATTCAGTGGCTCAGATTCCCTCTGAAGCCTCAGCTCTGCTCTTTAAGCCTGGTTTGGAAACGCTTCCTGGCCTCAGGGATGGGCATAGAATGGTCTTGAGTAGGACCGTCCCCTACCCTGCCATGCCCCTTGAAAGCATGGCTAGTTTTCACTCGTTTTGCCCCTAGAACTTGATACTTATTTGGTTTTTGAAGAACAATTTAAAAAGAACAAACATGTCTTAAGCATCCACCAGGTGCCAGCTACAGTACTGGGGAGTCCTGCCCTAAGGGAGCTTCCATTCTAAAATCACATGAAAAAAGTCAAGAGACTGGAACGAGATGGAAGAGCTTCGGGAATCCAACTGAAGGGCTTGAGTTAGATCCTACAGGGAAGAGGGGGGCCCTGGCACTCCCGCTGATGACTTAGCTCCAATCACTTACATTTGGGCATCACTTTAAGGAGAAGCACAGCGTGATGTTTCTGTACCTGTTTTAGAAGTGAGGGAAAGGAGGCTCAGGAAGATGAGATGACTTGTGAATGAGCTGCAGAACTTGAACCCGGGCTTTCTGCTGTCAGATCCTGGGAGCTTGCCTCTTGGTAGGCAGTTAAAGTAAAGAGGCTTTTATAGGTCCCTTAGAGAGAGGTATCACTCTTGGCCAATGTCAACTGAAAGTTAATTCACTGAGAATTTGAGACATCTGGCTTCATTTCTTAAACTTGGGTTCAGAAAATCAGCTTCTCAAGTAGAACGCTTAGGGTACTTGGCTAGGCAGCAGTCAGTCTGAAAAGGATCTGGGAGCTTTAGTGAACTCCAAGCCCAATGTGAGTCATATGAGTCTGCAAGGTGATGTGGTTGCCAAGAAGATGTGTGCCATCTTAGGTTGCCTTAAGTAAGACATAAAGGGCGGGTGCCAACTTGTTGGGTCTCTGGGAAAGGGAATTCTTCGGAATCCTAGATTTAGAGACGGAAGGGATGTTTAGAGGTCATTTAGTCTGAACACATAATTTTGAGTTGAGGAAAACGAGTCATATAGTAAACTGATATGATGGACAGATCCCTTTGAAATCGGAGAAGTGCAGTAAGACTGAGAGATGATATAGTCAGACAACCCCGACCTAGAAGTGGAGCCTGAAAGGCCATTGAGTCCAGTGTCCACCCATGAGGAAACCGAGGTCAAGAGAGATGATGCTTTGTCCCAGATTACTGGGTAGCAATGGGCAGAGCCCAGACTTGAGCTCAGTTCCCTGAATCCCAAGTCAATGGTCTTTCCACTGGACTCCTGTGCCTGCGGGATCTCTCTGAAATTCTGTGATTTGGGGAAAGTATCAGGAAAATGCAGGGTAGGAGACAAGATTATAGCATCAGTGATAGTTTGTTGACAGACTAATTTCAGGGTTTGAAGGACAGGAAGATTAATACCAAAGGAACTGAAATGAGACTCCAGTCCTTTAAGGAATTGGTATGATAAGCTGTTCTTGCATTCCCAGAAACTTGACTGTGGGAAATCAAGCATCGGCTCAAGGTCATGCAGAGGGCATGTGGGGATGGGGTGGAGGGAAGTGCCTGAATTCATCCTGAATCCACCTTTGGGCTCCTGGCCACTCAGCCCACTTTGACCTCTCCATTGTAAAAGCCTGGAGGCACTGAAATGTGACAATGTACCAAAGTGAAGAAGAATTAGCATCTTCGATCCAGGACTCAGAGTACTGTCAGGGCTCCGAGAGTGTCTTTTGAATGGAATGGGAAACAACAACAGAAGCCAGTTTTTCTTTGATGCTCTAGAGAGTTCTTCTAAAAACAAAGGCTGGATGGAAAAGAGAGGGCCAGATTCAAGCACTTTTTAAGAGCAGCCTCCAACACACAGCATTAGAACCGACATATTGATCTTGCTGGAATCCCAGCTGGAGAGTTTTTCCTCACAAGGTCAGGAGGAACGTCTGTTCATGTTTGTCCTCAGTGCAGACACAGAACCTCTCTGCCTGAGTTTTCGCCCTCTTTGATGGGCCAATTCATCCCCAAATAGAAGCAATGTAAAACAACAAATCCTGGGGGAGAGGAGGTCATAGCAGAATGACGTCATAGGCAGGTCAGAGATAGGAAGGAGGTCCCGACAGTGCCACCAACCAGTGGAACCTTAGTCAAACTATGTCCAGTCTCAGCTCCTCCATTCCCTTGTCTGTAAGATGAAGGGGTAGATAGCTACATCACATCACACAGTAGTAGATAGAGCTCTGGGTCTAGATCAGGAAGACCAGGGTTCAGAACCCGCCTCACGTACTAGCTGTGTACCCATAGTCAAGTCACTGAGGCTCTTTCAGCCTTGGTTTCCCCATCGGTAAAATAAGGGACTTCTAAGGTTCCTTCTAGTTCTCAGTCTAATGTTTTTAGTCTAATTAATCTAATCTAATGAGATCCAGAGATCATCATGATTTTCTAATTTCTAAAGTAAGGGCTCTCTCCATTTGGCTTCCAATGCCCAGTGCTCTCCATTACCTGACATGTGGCTTTGCAATATGTTTTTTCTTCTCTTAAATTTTTCTTTTCCATTGCATCCCACACTGGCCAGCTCCATGATTCAATGGAAGAGCCTACTGCATACAGCTGCTCCCTCATTTCCAGAGGGAGGTTATTATCAAAGACAAAAAGAATGGAAGAGGTCACAGAACATGTCCTACCAAAGGGGACACTTTTAATGACCCTCTGCAAATGCCGCAAACACCTGCCTTTTTAAGCTCAATATCTTCCCAGTGATGCTATTACGTAGCTAGGAATCATGCACCAACATCATCTCAGAAGAGTCCAATTCATGGTGGTTCCAATGGAGACAAAAAGGAGATGGTGAAAGTCTACCAGCCATGGCAAAAAGATACTGACAAAAGATATTGTTAAGTGGAAGTAGGCCTAGAAAAAGGAGGAAACAGGGATATGAATTTATGAATCCTGTGTGAAAGTCTTCTTCCCACGACCTCCACTTGCTCTCAAGAAATGGCTAAGGATAGCCCTAAACTTGTCTGATAGGTGGCACTAGGCTTTCTTCAGCAACATCTGATAATTTAGTTGCATTCCTTTAAAAGTGATGAAATCCATGAAATTGATTTATATTTATTCCCAATCTCATAGCAAAAGTGATTACAGTCAGAATGTTGAGAGATAACCCAATTGGATGGGAACCGCTTAATCTAATTAAATCAATTTTGCTCCTGTGTGGACACAGAGCAGAAAGACTCCAATTCATCATGGTGCATGGGGGGGATGGGGGGGCCCTCCAGTGTAATTCATCACCAAGCCAGGAATTCCAAATGCTGTTAGGTCACCAGACTTAACACTGACAAGTCATTATGAATTTTGGAATGGCTTAAATGTGTGAAACAGGGGAAAACAAATGGGGACTGGATGGCATCAATTACTTGGACTCTATTTTTCAAAATCCATTAAGGGAATGTCACCCCCTTCAGTGTGATTCTTTGAGGACTCTAAGGACATTTAGGGGGTGAAGCTGATTAATTAGGCCCAAGAGCCTGGAAATGGTCTACAGGAGGCACTGTGGGCCCTGCTAAGCCATCTGGGTCTCTTTGGACTTGAATTATAATGTTTTGTAGTAGGTGGAGCTGGCACCCAAACAACATATTGACCCCATTTTCTGCTGGTCTGATTTCCTTACAATGTCTCATTCTTCAAATGACCACATCCCCTACTAGAGAGATATGTATATTTTTAGAAAATTCTGAAGGGTAATAGTTTTGCTTTTTGGAGGATTTTGGAGATATTTCTAGGAGCAATTATGAATATTGGCATAAGGGACAGATGAAGTATGTAGGGCACAAAAGAATCAAAGCTC